GGATGCCTAAGAACAGCTCCCAAGGCCTGGGGGGCTCTGGGCCCTGGGTGTGGGGTGGAGGTGGCCCAGCTGGTGGTCTGTTTTCTTGACTAAAGCATCTTTGGGTTCTTTTCCATTGACTTTTTGGTGATGTCCACGGGCACACGTCTCCCACCTTCCTGCTCCATCCCACCAGAGTACAGTGCTTCCCAAGCACAAAAACAGGCCACGGGCGGAAATGTGGGATGAATTTAGTATCTGAAGAGTTAGAGGCTTACTCGAAGTGTATTTATACACTGGCCCATATGAACCATAATTTCACTGCTATTGCTTAAATTAGAAACATCATTTTGGGTTTATTTTTTCCCCCTCACCAACTCTGGGCTAGGAGCCCATTGAAAGAAAAATATTATGCAAATAGCGCTGAGTAGAGAAAATAAGGTGATGAAAATTGTGGAGGTGGTGTTTGAGTAATTAAAATCAGGAAATGCTGGGTCCTCACCACTGAGAAGGAACCCCGGTGGTGGGCAGAGATGCCACCTTTCTTCCTGTCCTGATTTCTCTGCATCAGGGTTGTCATCCCAGGTTGTCCTGGGACCTAGCTGGGGTGTCTACCCACCTCATCTACCTACCCTCTCTGCCCAGTCCTGTCTGCCCAGCCCTGGGAGAGTCCCCAGACACTCCAGAGCAAGTGGCAAGCAGGCCATTGGCTTCTGGATTATTCCCAGAGTCTTGCTCCAAAGATTCTGTGTTACACAGTAGCCATTGAGGGTGGCAGCTCAGCGAGGAGGAGATGCTCCAGGCTACGTGTTCCTGACTTTTAGCATCTTTAAGCCGTGGTGGAATGAAGCATTTAAAACAGGATGTCCCGGATGTAGTAGGCACAGATGTTGATTTACATAATGATGCACACCGGAGACATATAATGTTCTAACGCAACGTGGGCTGGGGAGAAGACTGGAGGGGCCTGAGCACACACTTTCCATGGGGCTGGTCCCTGTTCCATTTCTGGCCTGGTGTGGTCCCCCATGCATTGCTTGGAGCATTTAAGTTAGGAGTAGTCCCTGAGTCTCAACTGATGTGGTCCCCAAACCGATCACGATAACGACCATCCTGTTATTCGTCGATTGCTTTGAGCAGGCCCCAGTAACGTCTCCTTCGTCCTAGCCCTGAGATTTAAAAAAAAAAAAAAGAGTCTGCAGAGTCTGGCAAACTCCCCGTGGCGTACCCAATATGCCAAATACCAGTAACAATGAAGGGTCTCATTCTCCTAACTCTGAAAGAGCCTTGAATATGGTCCCCAAACCAAAAAAAAAAAAAAACCTTTCAATGTGGTCTCAATAAAAACAACAAAAAAGGCCATAAGGAGAAACATGTAAGCAGATGCCCACTATTTGTTGAGTAAATGTTGAGTAGGAACAGCCTGGAGACCAGCAGGGTCTCCTGTCATAAATTCTTATGTTGGGGCCAGAGAGACAGTGGATAGGGCCTTACATGCTTCTGATCCTGTTTTGACTACTGGCACCCCATGTGGTCCCCTGAGCACCAGCAGAAATGAACCCCAAATACTGAGACAAGAATAAGCCCCAAGCAAAGTCAGGTGTGCTCCCAAAATGAACTGACTAGATAAACTCATATGTCTGGTGCTTTTCACAGACTCTTCCCAGTCTTCAACCTCAGCCTTGGCTCTCAGAGGCGGTTCTCTTCCCTGACTCACTTTCCTGGCAAGAGTAGAGAAACTCAGACCGTTTTGTCTCCCTTGCCTTCTGGACATGCAGCTAGGGAATCAGAGAACCCAGACTTGGACTCTTGTCTAAGTTTAGAGGCCATGTTTCAAACTCTGCATGGTACCACCTCCGAACAGCTTCTTATGATGCACATAGGATTTCAGGGTGCCACAGGAAATTCAGGGGAATGGCAAAAAATATGTAGAACTTGAATCATCATTTAAGCAAGGATAATGAATATGTTAATGATTTTTATACGCTTGATCAAACTACCCTCGGGAAAGGTTGAAGCAATTTATACTTTTATCTGTAATGTTGGTTTTCTTATTTTACTATTTGTATGGAGGTACCATGATTTGCAACATGGTTAACTGGTCAACCATATTGCATGAATACATCATTTGAACCACATCCATCCCCGGAGTGCTGCTTCCCTCTGCCAGTGTCCTGAGGGTTTCTTCCAACCCCAAAGGAGCTCCGGTCTCTGGGTAGAATCTTCAATGATTTTGGCCATTTATTGCTCCTTTACTTGTTTCTTTATATCCTACTTGTTAGAGATCCTTTGAAAAACTTCATTGTGGGGGTGCTACTACCTATACACATATGTAGACCACTAAAATTAAACTTCTAAAATGACACAAAATTATAAATCAATGATAAGCTGATTTAAAACAAATTCCCCCTAAATGGTATATATTTCTGGAAGGTTGAATGGACAAGCTGAGGGGCTGAGAGGTGAGGAGGGCTGCTGAGGTGGCTGAGGTCAGGTGTGAGGCTCAAGGCTCGACCCTCCTGGTCTGTACTCTCCCTCCCGTCTCCAATCCCATCTTCTTAATCTGAGGTTGCCCTCCAGTGTCCAAATAGGTCAGCTGCACAGAGAAAGACTCCCTCTGGAACTTGGTTCTGCTACCTATGTCTGTCCATGCAGGAGATGATTGAGCACAGCACTTCTCCACCATGGTGGGACTCCCTGCGGGTGCTTATTGAAACATGCACGCAGGGTAGGTAGCCTGGCAGGAAACCCAAGATTTGGCCTTCTTCAGCAGCTTCCAGGGATTCCCAATTCTGCAGACAGCTGCCATCCTCATTGGGGAAGGGGGTGGACGTTGGAGCTTGCCCATGACCTCCGTAGAGTCTGAGGTGCCAGCCCTCCTTGCCCTTCCCCATCTCGGACCCCTTCCCTCCTCTTCCCAGCAATCCCTGCTCCATTTGCCCCTCTCCAGGATCTGACAGCTTCTTGGGCAAATCCCTGCTCTGAGATGCAGGGCCACCCCAGGTGGGCTCCTGAATGCAAAGCACATTTCCAGCTCCCTGGGCCCCCAGGGTGCTCGGTTCTCACCCTTCAGTGAGGTCCTCTCTGCTCCTCCGGCCTGTCCCTATTGGTCTCTCTTAGCCACGACCTTCGAGTGCCCTCTTCCTTATTGAGGCCAGAGTGCCGGGATAGTGGTCACCTCCCATGCACACAGTGGTATGCTCAGTGCTTCTGTCTGAGCAGAAGCTCAATAAGAAAATTTTGGAGGAAGGGAGCAAGGGAATGTTTCCCATGATCCTCTTGTGGAGCGTGTGAGGTGGTCTTGAGGGTGATGTGGAAGAACCATCAATGGAGACCCTAGAAGGGGGCTGAGTTTAAGACTCATCTCTCCACATATCAAAACGTGAATCAAGTTTCCACTGAGTATTTTCTTCACCATCAAGGCCTGATTAGTTTATGGGTCACTGGGTCCAACAAAGGTATTGGGGGCTTGGCAGGATCTCCGGTGGTGTGTGAGTGTGTGTGTGTGTGTGTGTGTGTGTGTGTGTGTGTGTGGTGTCCCTTAAGGGGAGGGATATCCTGTACACTCAAGGACACAGTGGCTGTGGCAGAGACGCTCTGAATCCCTCACCAGAGGCCACATCTCATTGTGTCATCGGTCCTGTTTGTTTTATTGGTCAGCAGGATGCCTGCTTCCCAATCTCCAGAATAAAGATGCCAAAGGCTCCATGTGACAGCCTTCTCTGCAGCTAGAACAGGGACTTATTCTTCACTCTCTTGTGGGACCCATGGAGAAATTTACTGGGAATTCTGGGGTAAGCCCTCAGGATGAACAAACACAAAAAGAGAAACTTATTTCCAGTCTTTGAAAGCACCTGTGTGAGGCTGACATGGCTGGTGCAACAGTAATTTCTTGCAAATGTGAGGGGCAGGGAGGAGTCAGAGGACAAAAACCAGGATGACTGAAGGTGATGGCTCCTGAAGGTATCTCTGAGCTACAGAACTGCACCTTGGCCTTCTGATTGTGTATGACAACCTGTGCTCTCATTGCTTGCAGCCCCTTTGAAGAAGGCTCTCTGACTGCAGCTCAACGTGTCTGAATGAGCAGAGCAAACAGGCTGGTCTTGCCAGCAAGACTGGAACTGGTTCCTGGCCCTTTCGTGTAATTCTGGGTTCCCTTCAGTGCTGTTTCCTTAACCCCGAGACAGAGATGAGAACAGCAACTCCCCCTTGGGTTGTTAGGCTTCAGTGGGATAGTGGGTGTAATGTTCTCGGCACAGAATGTGGCACACTACTGATATTTACAGGTGGAACTTTTTAACATCACTATTATTCACTGACCAGTCACAGATGATGGTTCATTCCAACATTCTCTACAATCATGCAGAACCCTCCATTTTCTGGGAACCAGTCTGAGTAATGCTTACTTCATCAATCATCATACTTCACTGAAGGATAAATGGAAGCAAAGGCAAAGCTGTCTACAGACTTTTTTTTTTCAATTTTGGAAAATGTGACCACTCTCCACACGCATGAAGGTACCGGCAGAGGAACATAGGCATGCGGGTCCCAGGGCTGAGATCTCCAAGGGGCTGAGCATCCTCCACCCAGATCCTCCATCTTCCAGTAGGCAGGGGTCACACCCTCCACCTGCCCTCCGGTGCCGTGTAACCCATCAATGGCCAAGACCCAGAGACTATAAAACCCAGCTCCTGGAAGCACGCGCGGCCACATTTGCGGCCATGCGACATCTTATTATCTCATTCTTACTCTTACAACCTGGCAGGCTACCGACTGTAACCTGCCCACACAGCAGAGTCTGGCAAACTCCCCGTTGTGTAAACAATATACCAAATACCAGTAACAATGATGGGTCTCATTCTCCTAACCCTGAAAGAGCGTTGAATATGGCACTTTTTAAAATCTCAGGGCTAGGGTGAAGGAGACGTTACTGGTGCCTGCTCAAGGAAAATGTGCATGGCCCAGCCTCTTCTAATTCACTTATTTCTACTCATTCTAGAAACAAACAGAAGGACACAGGATTGGGTTGAATTATGTGCTTTTATGGGAAACAAAAAAAATATCCAACAACAATAACAAAAGCTCTTTAATTTTGCCAAATTTTCAACCAGTGATTATGAGGCAGTGTCAATGATTGATCTGGCTGGGACATTTCTACAGGATCAGGAAGGTTGAAAGACATTGGCCAAGAAGAGAAGTTGCAGAGAGGGTTGACATCTGAGATTAGATTACATAGACCTCCCTGCCAGACCCTCATCCCGTTACCCCTTTGCAGCAGTTTCCTTCTAGTTCATACAGTTCCTTTCTGAACTTAGCTCAAAAACGCAGCCTCTTCCAGAAAGCTTTCCTTGGCTTGCACCAATGACCTTTACAGCAATGTCACACACTTTCTCAAGCCCTCTTCTATCATTTTCTACTTTACAATCAATGTGTTTGAGTACATCCTTAGGAGACCCATCATCAGCTGGCATGTCCCTGGACCAGTGCCCTTGTGGACCATCCCAGTGTTCCCATCTCCCACCCTCTGTCCAGCAGACAGCAGGTGCTCAGTGAGGGGTTGCTGAAGTTAGTTTTACACTTGCCAGGTGACATCGCCAGCCTCTCGAGACTCACTACGGTTAATTTCTACATCCTCATACTTCCTCCACGACTTCAAGGCACCTCCAAGAAGGAGCAGACCCCATCAGACACCACCCGCTTGGGGCTCAAGGTGTGGGGAGGTTCCACTGTCACCACTGTTCCAGCAGGTGAGGAGGCAGGAAAGGCAGCCTGGGGACATCCAAGTTGACCGGGAGCAGAGTTGGCCAATGCTTCATTCTTGGGCCTCACGAGCAGCCATTCTTCTGAAAGCCATTCACGACTGTGACTCATGACAGCCATGAATATGGTCAGTGAGAGTTGAAGACTGGGGTAGGGCGGGAGGTGGGGGGGGAGGGTGGGCTCTGGTCCAGATTACTATCAGAGGGGTGGTTGGAGGTTGTGTGTCTGGTTGGTCGGTTGGAGCTCTGGTGGAAGCGTTAGCCCTGTGCTGTGTTGAGTTGTCAGGCACGTAGATTGTAGTAAGGCTGAAGAATACAGGCTGCAAAGACAGACCTCTCTCCAGGAGGGCATGGGCCAGGAGGTGCCTGGCCAGGGAGCCCCAAGGAGGTTCTAAGTGGTCCTGCAGCTCCATCCAAACAAGGCCCCCTCCCTCTCGCTCCTGCCCCCCACTTCACCCTGCTGGTTTGGAGTCCGAAGAGATCAGCTGGAGGTGGCGTGGGCCAGGAGCTGCCTTGCCTTTCCTTCTCTACCGTGAGCTGTGGCTTTGGATCAGGAGAGGTTGGGATCCAGGGGCGAGGGAGGATAACCGAAGAGCAGCAGAAAGGCCAAGGCCCTGTCTACCTCTCTTCACTGCTCTGATGACCTGGGGCCTGCCCTTTATGTGGCAACACCCCCGGGGAACCCCCCAGCTCCTACACAGGGGGTGATAAGAAAGTTCTTCACGGTCCTCAGAGGTGTTCAGTGACTGGGCGAGATGCCTGCGGATATTCTCCTAGGAGGGCCCCTCTGGGGCCAATAAAGGGTGGCCACAGTCACCACAGGCCCCACAAGGCTGGGCCACAACTCAGAGAGATGGGAGATTCCTTCAGACACCTCCTTGAAGCAAGAGAGTCGGGTCTCCGGGAACGCAAGTTAGGACGGTGTTGCAGTACAAAACAGGATCTCTCGTGAAGCATGGGCATCCCCTATAATCCCTTCCCACACCCCAGAGCACTTAGAAAAGAGAACGTGAGGAGCATAAAAATACCTGGCTGGCATGGGCTGGCCTGGCACTACAGGAAAGCAAATCTTGTGGCAGGCAGACGCCCCATTACACAGGAGAGGGCTACACGGAGCTTGAGGAGAGGGATCTGACGTGGTTCCTTATGTGAACGCGCAGAGGCTGAGGGCCTCTGCCTAGAACAGCCGGGCTTGCTTCTTGAGCTCGTTCCTCTTCCAGAGCGCCAGCCGGTCAAACTCCGAGATGGTCATGCCGAAGACCTGGTAGAACTCTTCCTGGGACAGGTGGCGCTGGCAGAGGAGAGAGAGGGACAACCTGAGGCTGAGGGGAAGGCAGGCAGTGGGAGGGAGAGGGGACCGTCACCAGTTGGCTGACCCATGGAGGGACAATTGTGAGGCTGGGCACCGAGGGGGTCAGCATGTGGACCAGGGTTTCCTCACAGGAGCCCTTGGGGCTGGTCTGGCTGCTTGGGAGGAACCTGGGCTTCACTTGAAGCCCCTGGTGCACCCCCTGCTCCATGAGTGTATACGGTCCTTTTGGAGGAGAAAGAGGACATATATCCAAGACCTAAAGGTGTATTTTGGGGGAAGGTCACACCCAGCAGTGCTCAGGGCTTACTTCTGACTCTGTACCTAAGAGTCACTCCTGGTGAACTCAGGATCTATATGGGGTGCTGGGTTGGACATGTGCAAGATAAGCACCTTACCCGCTGTACTATTGCTTTAGCCCCTGAGGGTGCATTTTTGGTTACTAGTAAGGTAAAGATAAAGGTAAAGGCCCTCCCATTGTTCATCGATTTGCTCGAGCGGGCCCAGTAACGTCTCCATTGGAGACTTTGTTGTTACTGTGTCTGGCAGGAGCGATAGCACAGCGGTAGGGCGTTTGCCTTGCACGCAGCCAATATGGCCGACCCGAGTTCGATTCCTCTGCCCCTCTCGGAGAGCCCGGCAAGCTACTGAGAGTGACGTATTCGATTCGGTTACTAGTATATTTTTTATATATGTATACATACATAATATATATATTGCTTTTATTTTATTTTATTTTGGTTTGGGGGCCCAGCACTGCTCAGGCCTTATTCCTGGCTCTGTGCTCAGGGATCATTACTGGTGGGGTTGAAGGGGACCATACAGAGTGCTGGGAGTGAACACTAGTGGCTGCATGCAAGGCAAGCAACTTACCTGCTGTACTATCTCCAGTGGGGCCCCCCCCCCCACTTTCTTTTCTGAAAACAAATGATCTGCAAGGCTGCGCTTCAGACCCACTAATATTACTAACAACATTACTATTCATTTCTCCACCTGCTACCACGTCCTTTCCTCTCTCCCACAAGACAACTTTGCTGTAGGAAGAAACACTGGGGGACTCCACAGCAGGTCCCCCTTGGTAGGCCACGCAGTCTTTAAGTGGACCCACCATGCAAAGCTTCTGGAGTTAAGAATACGTTGTTGCATTGGGCTGAAGGGTGACTGGATGATTATTTTACTATTCTCTCAAGCGAAGAGTTTCAAGGTTAAAATTATGTGTAAAGAGTCAGACATATGTTCTAAATTATTGATCAGTGCCTGGGATTGTCACTATTATGAAAACCTGTTAAGTACGTCATAATACGCTGAAAAAACTCAACTCACAGTCACCATCAGCCAGTGATGTATGTCAAAAGTCATCTATGCTTGAAGAACCAGGAAGTGGCCAGAACCTGAGTTCCTGGTATGAACAGGGCAGAGATGTACGGGGCTGTGCATGGTTCTTTTCAAATCCTCCAATTGCTCCCTGGCGGGCAGCAGCTCAGCTTCAGGAATCCAGTAGATGACATATCTGACTTTTTACGTTAAAAAAAAATCAAGAACACCCCCCCCCCCTTTTTTGGGTCATGCTTGGTGATTCTCAGAAGCTCTGAACTCAGGAATTACTCCTGGTGGTTCTTGGAGGACCATATGGGATGCTAGGAATTGAACCCAGGTTGGCTATGTGCTTCAGTCCCTGAAGCATATGTTAGATGAATGAAGAAATACTCTGAGCCCCTAGAGACAGGGTGGGGGCTCTTTCTCAGCTTCCGTTCAGCCTGGTGCTGGGGACTAGGGCAGGATCTGCTCATGCTACACACACCCCCTTCCCTTTGCCTTTGAATTCAGATGCCCAGGCAGCTCTCCCAGACTGACTGCAAGGTCTAGGGCAGGGCCTTCTTTTGACATCTGAGAAAGCTCCCTAGGGATCCTGGTCCTTAGGGCAGATTTTGCTCTCCTGGTTTGAGCTCTTGGTGTCCCTGAGAGCACAGGGAAGCAAGGATGAACCCTGTAGCTTAGGGCTTCCTGAGTGCTGCTGCCTAGAGCGCCCCAGAGCTGTCCCCTGGAGCTGTCCCCTTCAGCACTGAGAGACTCATCCATAGGCAAGGAGGGTTCATGAACTAGGGCCCTGGGGAGATGTGGTGGGACGGGGTGGATTATGTGTCCCCCCCACTGCTAACCCTGCCAGCCCACCATGCTTCCAGGGCACTGTGGACCCCCCCCCATTCTCCTCTGTCCCTCCTCTACCCTGGGCGATTCCTAGGCAGTCAGTGCTGTGGGATTGCTTTGCTCATCCCAAGACCTTCTGAGCCTCCTTTCACAGAAGCTTGTGATCAATTCCACAAATACTTCCTGATATCCCTTTGAGGGAGGAAGGGCAGCTCCCCAGTCTGAGGCAGAGGAGGAGGGAAGGGCAGGGAAGCAGGCAGCTCTGGAGGCAGGGCTGGACATGCTGAAGAAGAGGTGATCTGGGAGAAGGGCTGCGGGGCCAGGGCACCACTAAAATGACAGAGTGAGGAGTGGGGCAGCTGAGAAGATGGCGAAGGCGTTCTAAGGAGATGGAGTGGCAGGGAGAGTCATGGGGCAAAGGACAGGCACCTCATGATCAGAGGTTCCCAGTGGGTTGGATATCTTACACCCCCTTTGTCTGTCCTACCCCTGCTCATGATTCTCCCTCTCTCCATCTCCACACCTGCCCACCTTCATAGTCACCCCCAAACTTCTCCCCCTACTGGACCCCTGCTCCAGCTGGCTGGGTCTTAGTGGGTCATGTTGCTCCCCAGCTCTGCCTCCGAGCTGAGGGCTCTGCATGTACATTATTTCATCCCATGGAAGCTCGAAGGACTCCGGGCAACCAACCACCTTTTTAACCAAACACCAAAGAGCTTGTCACAAGACTGAGCTGCCCATCCACATGCGACATATTCAGAGCTGGAACCTGGAGTCTGGCTCATGTGTGCAGGCCATCGTGCCAAGGCTGGGTCTCTGCCGAGCCCCGCACAAAACCCCTCCTATGCTTCCCATGAAGAAGGCGGAGGCCCCGACCTCACTGTCCACTGTGGAAGCCTCTGCCCTGAATGGGGACACGCTGTGGCCAGACACTGACATGGCCTGAGCCAAGGAGGTAGCAGGGAACAGCGGGGGACATTTGTGAGCTAAGGACGCTTGAGGTTGCTTTGGCAACGTGCTGTGTGAGCATGCAGGCACTCAACTCACCCGCCGTGCCCATCTGGGTGAGAGCCACTGCTCACCAAACCCCCTCAAGCCCACAGGCTCCAGCTCAGCTTAGACCTACCTCTAAGCGGGTCCGGTCCACGTCCTTGGGGAGCCGATTTCTTCCTCTTGTGGTGACCAGCAGCAGCTCATATGGGTAGATCTGAGGAAAAAGGGAGGTGCAAAGGGCTCGTCCCGTTCAGGCACATTTGGTGCTGGGGTTGCCCATATACGCAGACAGGCTAGAGAGTCAATCTGGGGGAGGGGTGGGTTGGCCCTCCTTGGGTTGTCCTGAGAGCCTCAAGGCACCTTCTCCCCAATGGCAGGTCCGTAGGCCCCCAATACACCAGGGCCAGGCTGGGTGATATTTGTCATCAACGTGGGCACAAGGCCTCCCAGACGTAAGTGTGTAATATTTGGGGATGAATGAGCCCCCTGGCAGGTCTCTAAGGTCCCAGGGGGAGCTGTCTGACTCCTGCAGGTGAGAGGAGGGGTGGGACCCAGGTAAAGAGAGTCTGGCAGGACCAAACACGGACTTGGGGGCTCTGGTGCTCTCTTCCTCCCAGAGACAGCGTTGCTGCTTCTGCTGGTTCCCAAACGTAGTGGCTCCCCAGGTCCCGAGACCCCGTGGGGCTCTGCATCCTCTTTACCTTGTACTCTGTCAAGAGAAAACACACAGAGAGGAGATGCTGTGAGCAGGCCTGGCACTGGGGGGTGGGATTCTGGGGCTGGTCTGAGCACAGTGGGGGATGGCCTTGAAGGCAAAATGATTTTTGAGGTCGTAAGCCGGGGAGTAAGAAAATTCTGAGGGTGATGGGGCTGGAGCCATAACACAGAGGTAAGGCAAATGCTTTGTACATGCCTGACCCGGGTCTGATCCATGAGCACTACTGGGTGTGACCTAAAAACAAAAACAAAAACAAACAAAGAAAAAAGTGGTGGGGAATGATGGGAGTCCCAGGACAAGACCCTTTATCTCCGGGATATCTTTCAGGATTGCCATTGGATCAGCCTCTGGCCAGAGTCCCTCTAGGAGGTGAGGGGACAGTGTCCCAGGCAGAATATGGGGAGCCTGTGCGGTGTGCTGGGAATAGCAGGCACTGATGTGACAGTCACCTCCCCCAGCCTGCAGCGCTCACTGAGGACAGCTCTCAGGCCAGAGGGACAGGGGACCTGGAGAGGCCAAGGGAAGAATGGGAATGAGAGTGAACGGGAATGGGACTTGTGCTTTGTGGCCAGATCCCAGTAGCCCTGGGGCAGGGCCTCACAGGCTGTGGCCTGTCAATGGCCCAGAGCAGTGCTGAGCAGGCCAGCCTCTGTCCCGTGCTCCCTGGCGAGGCCACACTCACCTCGCATGCCCCAGTTGACGGCGTTCATGCTATCGTAGTGGAAGAGGTCAGCGCTGGGCGTCTGCAGGGGTGACAGGGTGGGCGCAGGTGACTGAGGTGACTTCCTGTGTTCGGCCTCACAGAGCACACATCACCCACCCACCTCCAGCCAGGGGTTTATTAGCACCAGTTCTTTCAAGCTCCATGCAGGGGGACTGAGCCAAGTGCATGACCCATGTGCTCACAGCCAGCACGGGGACGTGCAGCCTTACCACTCAGCCTTCCGCCCTGCTCAGCCTCCCCTTTCTTTGCCCCCAAACTGCAAGCTGCCCCTGTCCCAGACTGCCACACCTTTTTCCTGCTCAAAGCTGCCTCCCCCTGCCCACAAATGGCTTGCCAACTGTTTGCTCCCTGTATTCCCCTCCCCACCCTGCAAGATCATGGCCCCCCAAAGGGCAAGGCTCTTGGTCTCCTTGGCCCATGAGCATTTGTGCACCCGGAGCAGGGTCCGGCATCCACAGGGTTTTCAACACAGGTCTGCCCAGGAGTGCAGGGGGAGTCTGAGCAAGCGAGGTTGAGGGCTGGGGGTCCCCTGCAGGAGGGGTTATTAGACCAGCTTCTCCTCTCCAGTGACCTTGATCCTCGCGTGGGTTCTCTCTGAAATTGCTGCCTAATGAGTCTGTGGCTTCCCCGCCCCCTCACCCCCCCCCGGGTTGTCTGAGAGGTGTCCTACCCATCGGGTCACTCAGTATGTCTCCAGCAGACCCGCCCAAGTCCTCGCCCATGGACAGGGCCCTGACACTGTCCCTACCTGGCTTCCTTCCACAGTTCGTCCCGGCCCACCCTGGATGCTCTGGCTCATGTGCTCCGTGGCCTCCTGCCCAGGGTCGTGGGTGTTGCACCCTTCTCTGGATGGCGCCTGTGGCCCAGCAGTGAGGTGCTGCCTACTCCTAGGTTTGTCCGACACCCCCTCCAGCTAATCTCTCCAGCGCAGCTGTGCTCCCAACTGTTCCACCCACCCAGCGTCATCCCCCGACATGTTTTGGTGGAAGTTGCCTGACTTCCCAGCTAAAAGAGGAAGACCCGAAGCAGCTTTATTCCTGGCAGCCAGAATATTTCAGCACTTGGTAGGTGCTTTATAAAGGTTTGTCCTGTAGCCAGAACACTTTGGCATCTAGCAAGGGCTTTGTAAAGCTTTGTCTGCCCTACCATCCCCACCCTTCGCCCATGTCTGCCAGTGACGTCCTCGCTTGTTAAGGAGACACACTTGCATTCCCTTCCACCCCCTCCAACCAGCCCGGGCTACCATCAACTGGCAGTTCCTGGAGCTGGGCTGTGAGGGTGGGTGGCCTGGTTCTGAGAGCTGGACAACGCCTGCCCCCGTGTCTCTCTGTTTCTGCATCTTCCCCATGAGAGAGGGTGAATAAAAGACCCCCTCTTGGTGGGGTTGGGAGGCTGAGTTAGTGCGTGGAGCACAGGCGGGGTGCCCCAAGCACTGGTGTCCCCAGCCTCACCACAGCCCCCCTCCCTCACACACCGGATCACAGGAGAACAGCAAACTTGCTTTGCTTCTGCCCATTACCCCTCTGCAGGGCCCAAGGTCTGTATCCAGGCTTTGGGATTATGGGCATCCTCTGGACCATGCCCACCACATGCTGGCATGCATGCACACACACACACACACACACACACATGTACATGCACACACACAGGCTTACTTACCCTGTGCAGCCCGTTTCTTCTATAGGCAGGCAGGGAGGCCGATTTGGAAATGAGGGGATCTGGAAAGAAGTAGTTAACTAATGAGAAATGACTCCCCCGTGACCAGTCCCCCTGGAGGGGTGAGTAGCCAGATGCCAACTGCCCCTCGGACTGCTCTCCTGACTTGTGCAGACTGCCTGAGGGATGTCTCTCTTCTAGGCACACAGGAAACAGCACCCACTCCCCAGGTTTCACCCTGCACTGGCTGTCCCCCTTGGATGGGAGCCTTAGCCCTGGCTATGGACGCCTCAGCCACAGGCCTGGAGTTGGGGCCCAGCTCAGAGCAGACAGGCAGCTTCCCCGGGGCTGGGGAGGGCACTGGCTTCCTTGGGTGGGGGGTGGTTTCTGGAACCCGAAACTGAAGCCGAACTGGACAGCGTGAACAATTGAAGATCAGGACTGGCCTGGGAGAGCCACATCCTTCGGCCCTCAGAGAATCACTGCCACAGCCACAGCCCTCACAGAACACGAGAGGCCGTGGCCGGGGTGAGAGGAGGGGGGCAGAACATACCACTGTCAGCCAGGTAGTGGGACCGAGGAGCTGCAAGAGAGGAAAGCAGAGGTCAGTGGTCCTGGGCAGGCAGAAAGGGGAATTGGCTTCTGTACTCCCACCTGCTCACTTCCCAGGGGTGACCCTGTCCACCCTCCCCTAGTATCAGGCACACTGCAGGGGCTCTAGAGCATGGAAGCCTAAAAAAGGACGGGAAGTGGGCACCTGCCAGTGTCCTGCACAGAGCCCAGGGCCAGGGATATAGAACAGTGCCCTCAACTGGCCAAAGATGGTCACCGGCTCTCGCGCTCCATCCAGGCTCTACCACGAGCAGAGATCATTTCTACAATGCACTCATGGGCCCGAGGCATAGTGCAATGATAGGGCGCTTGCCTGGCACGCAGCCAAGCCAGAGCACCCCATATATGGCCCTCGAGCACCTCCAGGAGTGATCCCTGAGCTCAGAACCAAGGTAAGTCCTAAGCACTGCCAGGAGTGTTCCCAAAACAAAACAAAGACAAATGAAAAAAAAATCAACCAAGAAAAAACAAAAAATTCATCACACTTCAGTTTTCTCATCTGAAAAATGGGAAATGGAAGGGGAGGGGGAAGCCCCCAAAAGTCAGGCGATGTTTATAGTGTTTTAAAAGAGAATGCACTGTAGCACTGTCCTCCTGTTGTTCATTGATTTGCTCAAGCGGGCACCAGTAACGTCTCCATTGTGTGACATGTTGTTACTGTTTTTGGCATATCAAATATTCCATGGGGACTTTGCCAGGCTCTGCCGTGCGGGAAAGATACTCTTGGTAGCTTGCCGGGCTCATTGAGAGGGACGGAGAAATCGAACCCGGCTTGGCCACATGCAAGGCAAACGCTGTGTTATTGCTCCAGCCCTTAAGGGAGAATATAGAACACAATGCAGAGATTCCACCAGCCCAGGGTCTGGCACAAAACAAAAAGATCTGACTTCGCCCCCAGCGCTGCCTGCTGTCAGGGCACAGTCTGGTAAAGAGGGAGAAACTTGGCCTTGGAGTCATCCGATTTAGGCCTCCAGAGGCTTACTGAACTTTCTGACCTTCCCTGAGTGGCTTAACCGCAGATCTCTTATCTATAAGGGGGTGATAATAATCCATCTACACTGTGGGCCTCTGTGGGAAAGGAAGTGGCAGCGTGTCTATTGATGCATGGTGTGGAGGATGGCGACACACAGTTATTCCCAGGGCATCAGCCCTGAGTCCCCATCAGGCACGGACGCGAGGAGAGATTCTGTGTCAGGACTGAGCCTGGTGGGGTAAGAGAGAGGAAGCAGAGGACATGGCGGCAAATTGCCCAGAGCAGGCCTCCGATTGCAGAGCTCCAGTGACCAAAGCTCATGGTCCAAGGGGAGTTCTGCTTTTCAAGCCTTCCAGCCTATTAGGGCTGGATGCTCTCCCCGGACAGTGAACCTGACTGGCTGTCATGGGATATAGAAGCGCACGAGCAGCAGATATGACTGCTGGCTGCAGAGGCTGGGCTCGCTCGCTCAGTGGCCCTGCAGCATTTGCGCTCTGGGCCAGGGGGAGGATGAAGACAGAGAGGGGAGGGCGGGGTCGCACGCCACCCTCCAGACAAGCTCACAGCCATTGAGGGACATGTCATAGCCAGCCATGTGCAGTGCCTCCCGGCTGCTGGTGGAGCTCCGGGGCGGTGTCCAGGGGTCAGTGTAGGAGCTGGACCGGGCTTTCATCTCTTCCTTCAGGATCAGCCGGCCAATCCCACTCTGGAGCTGAGGTGAGAGGGGAAGGAGAAGTCAGAGAAAATCAAAGGCAAGACAGACAGGGCTGACTTTTGGCAAGGTTCAGTGCTCACAGGGAGCTGCTCTAGGAACCGTGCTCCTGGAAGCACCCAGCTTCCCCCTGGCGACTTCACCTTACTTCCCCAAGCAGACTGGGATACAGGTGCGTCTCCGGAGAACCAGGGCTGGAGAACCAGCTCAGAGGGAGAAGCACATGTTTTGCATGAGGGAGGACCAGGTTTCATCCCCAGCACCTCATGCTCACCCAAGCACTACTGGAAGTACTCCCAGAGCACCGAGATGGGAGAAGCCTCTGAATGCTGCCAGGTGTGGCCCACTCTGCATGCCCTCTCTGTGTGCTCCCCTCCCCCAACAAAGAAAGCAGGTCTAGTCAATGACCCAGGACTGCAATTTTTTTTTCTTTTTGGGCCACACACAGCAATGCTCAGGGGTCACTCCTGGCTCTGTGCTTAGGAATCACTCCTAGTGGTGCTTGGGGAACCATATGGGATGCCAGGGATTGAACCCAGGTCGGTTGCCTACAAGGCAAACGCCCTCCCCACTGTGCTATTGCTCTGGCCCCCTAGAACTGCATTTTCCCTGAACCCAGTTCAATAACAGATGATGGTTCCAGACTTAAGTTGGAGTCACTGGCACCACCTCTGAAATTGAGGCCGATTTCACATAAGATAAAATTAACCCATGGAAGGAAGCCCCCATGAAAAACACATACACACACAGACACACAGACACACACATACCCCACACACTGAATTTAGCACATTCCTGATCTGAAAGACCACTGCCTCTACCCTGTTTTAAGCCACTGTATCATCTACCCACCCACCCAAGGGGGACCTGCAGGGGGAGACGGCAGCCACTCCTTATTTCTCTTCCTCGCCAGGTTGATCCTCCATCTGTGTTCTGTTCCTGTGGATTCTGAAGACTTCAGATAAGCGGAATCAGACAACAGGTGGACTTTCACGCCTGGCTTCTTCCACAGAGCACGGTGCTTTTGAGTTTCGCTGAGACTATAGCCCCATCAGTCCTATATCCCTTTTTCTAGTGAAATCATAGATCACTGCATGACTAGGCCACATTTTGTGGATCAATTCCTCAGTTTAGGAACATCTGAGCTATTTCTCCCTCTTGGTTCCTGTCCATAGTGCTATGAATGGGGATTTGATTCTCAGTTCTCAGTTCTCCTAGGACTATACCCAGGAGCGGAATTGCTGGGTCATATTGTAAATCTCTGCTTCACTCTTTGAAGTCTGCCAACGTGTTTCCCAGCAGCTGGGCCACTTTCATTCCCACAAGTAGATTGAAAGAGGTGCTACAGTCACCTTGGCTCTGTATGACACACCCTGCAAGAGAGAGGTGGCTGCCAGCACCAGAGAAAAGAGATGTTTTTCTCCCCATGGCAGTTTCTTTAGCAGCTGGACCGACCCATACCTGAAGCTGATCCTAAACTAAACACCCAGACATTCGTGTTTCAGGTATACAAAGGCTCAACAGGTCCCTTTCCTATCAGAAGTGAGTCGAGTTTGGTTCCTGTCACTTGCAAATGAAACACTCATCAGTAAAAGACCACGTGAACACCTTGATGGGGAGCGGGGCGCTGTTCACCTTGTGCATGCTGCGGTCAAAATCATCTTCTTCTCCACCAGATGAGAATCTTCTGGCTCGGGGCACTGGCGAGAGAGGGTGAAGGTCAGCACCTGCGGAGGAGCCATCGGGCTCAGCCTGCCCCAGGGAGAGGATGCAGAGGCCCAGCAAGGCTTAGGGGAGAAAGTTCTTTCCATCTCTGGCATATTCAAGCTGAGCAGTCCCTTGAGAGCAGTTGGATGAGATGTCACCCCCCACCCCCATGGGGCTACTTTCAATCTGCTATTTATTCCCTTCCTTGTGAGGCGGAAGTGGAGCCATGACAGGTTTCACTTTTAAGACCAAAACTCAGCAGGCCTAAGTCTCGGTTTCCCCCATCAGAAAGTCCTAGCTTCTCCGAAAACAATATATCACTCTGGGCAGATAAAACGCCCTGTGGCAGCAGCCTATCAGAGTAGGGGGCATGGGCAGTGGCGCCCAGCCAAGTAAGAGAGGACCTAGGGTGTGGAGTCACAGGCTGACAGGGACCAAGAATTGGAAACATAAAGTTGGTCCCTGAAGTCACGGGAAGGGACAGGGACCAGAATTGGAAACATATTGCCAGTTCCTAAAAAAAAAAAAAAAATTGCTGTTAAGTAACCAAACCCTATATAAGCTGCTTAGAATTTGGAGTGCGGTCATTGTCAAGACTCCACTGCGTTGGATGAGACTTGGACCCTAGCTCGAGCTAACAATAAAGGGACCTTGCATTTGCACCTTCGCGTTTGGTCTGGTCAATGTGCGAGCAAAACTCCCGTTCTGGGACATAAAGCCCTGAACCGGGAAGGTAGGGGAAGCTGACTGCCGTGCAGCGAAGAAGGCTCAGAGCTGGGACTCTGCCCAAGATAGAGAAGCTCCCCTCTGCCGGCGGGCGACATAGATCTCAGTCCGCAGAGCTCATCCTGGCATGATGAGGACAGGTCCCCCAGGGAATAGGGAATATTCATGGTCGCTTTTAGCTTTCGCGGTGCCTGAAGCCAAGGTAGCACAGGACCTTTCAGCCCTGTCCCAGGAGCCCCTGCTTTGCCCCAAGCCACTCTGAGCTGGGCTGTCTTTCTGGGGACTGAAATGCGCTCATGCAAGAGTCTCAATTTCCTCCCCTGTCTGCTGGCAGTCCGGTGAACACTCCACTGTGAAGTTTTGGAGCAGTCAAGGGTGCCGCCTCGCACCCACTTTGGTGAGGTCGTGCATTCTGAGAGTCGGGTGGGGCCACCCCTGAGTGCCTGTGAGGCGATGCTCACAAGGGGCTCAGTCAGGAAAGGGCACCAACCAGGGGAACCGGGGGAAGAAACAGCTGAGGATGTCTGACTGCGCATTCTCAGACTCCTTGCCAGGTGCCCCGGAGAATCTCCTGTCTCCCCACGCTCCTCTGTCCCATCCTCCAAGTCATTATCCACCCTCCAGCTCACGTGGCCTCTAAAAGACACAGATCTGCGGGTGCCACCCTGGTGGCGGCTCTTCCCCTCAGTGCACTGGCGTCTGTCCCTGCAGCTCCCACTGCCCCCGAGCTCCACAGGCAGCTGCGTCCTGCCTCCCGTGGACTGTCCCCAGCCTGGTGGCGCATGCGCTCCTGCACCGTCGGCTGGCCCTGCCCCTTCCCAAGGCTGCTGGGTCTGCGTCCCTCCCCTAAGCTCCTCCACATGCAGGAACCCAGTCTGTTTGTCCCCCAGGGTCCCCACCCCCGGCTCACCATGAGTGGGCCTCAGCACATGCCTACTGAGTGCGCTCGGAATGAGTCCCCACACGGGGTGGAGGTGGGGTGCCAGGATGCTGGTCCTGGCTCCCCCAAGTTGCATGCTACCTTTGGGGGACCCATGGTAGGTCCAGAACTCAGATTCCGCAGCATAGTAGGGGTCTGGGGAGTAGGCTGGGCTGTACTTGGAGGCCTGGCTGATGTCCTCACTTGTTTTGCTCTTGGTGGCTGTTGACAGATCACCTGCAGGGGACCCAAGGAGACAGCTTCAGGGAGGGGGCGGGCATCCCTGCACAGACTCTGCCTCTGCTGGCCCAGGGCACAGCTGGAGAGCCAGGGAAGGGGGGGGGGCTGCCCACGTCCACACAGCCAGTTAGAATTGGAGCCGGCCCCACTCAGGGTGGCTCCCACCATGCCCCCTGGGCTCTAGTGTGTCCCTAAGTGAACCCGAAGGCCATGGCCACTCCACTTAAGGCCAGAGGGCCCCTGAGCCGACCTGCCTTCCTCACTCTCACGCAGCTGCCTGTGGACCTCAGTGAGGTCAGATGGGACCCAAGGGCAGGGCCAGATCGAAGGAGTCAGGTCAACCTCCTGGCCCCGCAGTGCCCGAGCCTGTCTGGAGAGGCCTTCCTGTGCCCTGTGCTCTAGGCTCTCCTCTGCCACTGTTACCAGCTGGCACAGTGGGCAAATCCTGCCCCTCCTAGCTTCAGTTTCCCCACCCAAGGGCATCAACACAGGCTGCTGGCTCAGGTGCCTTTTAGGGGCCATTCCTGCCCGAAGCTCATAGCATGGTGCCAGGCAAGGACTTGGTCCAAAGCCTGGGGAAGAGGGCTAGGCGGAGGGGCCGGACCAACGGGCACCCCCTTTCACCTCCGCCCCATCTACGCCTGCCAGTGTTCCTGGACCTGGACTCTCCCTCTGCTTGACCCATCCATCAACTCCTCTCCATGTAGTGCTCCCTGCACCCCAAACTGCCCCTCAGCCTGCCCAGGGCTGCTCTCCAAAGCCCACACGTGCCACTGCCCCTGGGGTGGTCTCCACAGTCACATGAACACGTGCCCAAGCTCACGGGAAGCCCATTTGTAGGCCAACCCAGACTCCAGCGGGGGGCCGTGTGCCTGCCTCTGTGCTGCCAGCCATGTGCTCCCTTCCCGTGGCCCCCCCAGACCCAGAGGGTGATACCCAGCAGCCGTGCCTCCGCACCCTTCAAGAAAGGGGGTGCTTGTTCATCCGAGCAAGGCTGGCGAGGGCTCAGCGGGGCCGGGGTATTGGGTGTGGGAGGAGTCGTGGGATGAAGCTGCTCCTGGTGCAGAATCTCAGGCCACCCTCAGAGCGGCCTTACTACTAGGAAAGTCAGTGGCCACAGCCCTACCCTGGCCAGCCTGGAGAGGCCTTCCTGTGCCCTGTGCTTCAGGCCCTTCTTTGCCTCCTCTGCCGCCTGAAAGGCAGCTGGGCACTGCCCTTTCCTGCCTGGAGAGGGCCAGGGCGGGGCGCAGGCTACTGACTTTCCTAGCAGGTCACACGGGTGGGTGAAGGCCATGGCATGAGGGAGTGAAGGAGTGCGTGCGGGGCCTTTCCAGGGCAGCTGGGAAGGGAACTGGGATGAGAGGACTTCTTGGGAACGTGAGTCAGGGCACCGGGCCAGGGGTCTGGGGCACAGCCCTGCTCCCCAGCCCTGCTCCTCCCACCTATGGCCTCTCCAAGTTGGCCTCCACTCTCAGGACATGGATGAGAAGAGCTTCCAGAGGGACAACGCCTAGAGAAACGGTTCCAAATACACAACGGCAGCTCAGCCTGGTCAGGCCTGGGCCCTGCCCCATCCCATCACATGATGTTCAATAATGTCCAAGTTAGAGGGTCAGGGTGGTATGTATTTGGGGTGTCAGGTGCTGCTCCAGTGACTGGGGATATCAGATAGAGGGGGTCAGGGTCGGGAGGGGGAGGGTAGCTGAGATGTGAGGCCTTTCTCCTGCAATGACATCTCCCCCCCAGGACACTCCCAGGGATTGAGGATCAAGGGGCAGCCAGGGAGTGTCTCCCTGGGGCTCTGTGCAAAGATGAAGCCCTCCCGGTGCCCCCTCCAACTATACCATGCCGTTTGTAGATTGGGGGTTTCCGGTAGATGTTGCTCTCTCCAGCTGCCAGGCAGAGAGGAAGGGGTAGGGGGGAGAGGGAGAAAGAGGGGGTGGAGAGGGAGAAAAAGAGGGGCAAAAGGGGGAGAGAGAAGGAGAGAGAAGGGAAGTGGGAGAGAGGGAGAGACAGAGAGAGAGGAGAGAGAGAGAGGGAGAGGGAGAGGGAGAGGGAGAGAGGTGATGGAGAGAGAGAGAGAGAGAGAGAGAGAGAACGAAGGGAGGGATGCGAGGAGGGGGAGACAGAGAGACAGCAGTCAGTCAGCTGATCTCCGAGCCAGCCCCCTTTCCCAGCAGGGTCCTTGTCCCTGCTCTCTGGACATCCTCTCCCAGAGCTCAGCTACCTCAGCTCCCCCCATCTTGCGCCTTAGGTTCTAGAGGGAGGGATGGAGTGTGCAGAGGAAGAGCCTGGGATTGGAGAGCAGCGGAAGGTCAGAAGGTCGAGTGGAAGCTGGGCATGTGTGTGGGAGGGCAGCCCCACCCCAACCACTCCCAGCCCAGGGCCTGCCCCCTCCCTGCACAACCTCTCCCTGTGCTTCTGCCTTCATCATTTCTTCTCCTCCCTCCCTCATTGCCTCCCTCCCTCGCTCCCTCCCACCAGGACAGGGCCTTTCTGGGGCAGCCAAGAGGGGAACTGGGGTGAGTGGACTTCTTGAGAATGTGAGTCAGGGCAGTCCCTGAACTCAGGGCAATCCTTTGTCCAAATCACACTCACAAGACCACCAAGTGCCTGCCTTCCTGTCCTCGCTCAGGGCGCTTCTTCTGGTCACACTGCCCCCGGGGACTTCACAAGGAAAGCACACTCCTTGGCCTCTTTCAGCTTCAACGTCCCCTCCTCCGGGAAGGTCCTGACTCCACACTGGGCACCGCCACCCACCCAGCTCTCGCTACGGTCCCGTCCCTCTGAAACAGAGGTTTTTACTGCTGGTCCGTGGACCAGTGCTGCTCTGCAAGCATAAGAGGAGGGATACCACTGATCTAAAAGGAGGCCCTCTCTGTGATGGGCACCACACCGACCCAACCCTCACCTGGAACCTCGCTGGACTGACTCAGGTCTTTTGTGGTGCCAGGGATCAAATCTAGATCTAACACATGCAGGCGAGTGCTCTGCCACAGAGCTGCGTCCCAGCCCTGTTTTTTTTTTTTTTTTTTAAATCTTGTTTTCAAACCTCTTCCTATGTTTGACTATAAATACCAAGTCGAGGGATGTGCCGAGTGAGACTGCAGAGCCCAGAATGGTGTCTGGCTCAGGGGAGCTCAGTGATTGGATTGGATTGAGTCTCAGATGCTCAAAGGCAAAGCCTGGTTCCTGCCCATTCCGTATAGCTGTGCTCCTCCTGGTGGTTTCTGGGGGTGGGGCTGAAGCTCAGGGGCCTGGAGAGGCTGGAGCAGGGTGGAGCAGGAGGCTGGTGGGTCAGGGAGGGTCCCCAGGAAGCGCTTCTCAGTGCAATGCAGGCCCCCTACCCAGACTCCCAAGCATGCACTCATGCCAGCATTCCGGGCAGCAGCCTACCTGGGATGTGGAAGTGTTTGGGGGCCTGGTAAGAGGTCGGCGTGGAAGACCTGACGTCTAACTGGCTATGGTAAGGAGAGCTCCGGCCACTCTCGGGCCCTGGAGCGCGCATGCCCGCGAGGAGAAAGGCAGCAGAGAGAAGAGGCGTTAGCAGAGAGAAGGGGGTCGTCGAGGCGGCAGTGCGCAGTGGGCAGCATGGAGGACGTGGTGTCCTCATGCCTCTGGCCTGCAGAGCCAAGCTGGACCCTGTTTGTTCACGTCACCACCAAGCCCCCCTCCTCCAGAATGCCCTCCGTGAGTTTCTGAGCTCCAGGAAGACTTGTTCACCCCAGAGTCCTCCTCCCTGCTGAGACCCGCCCTCCCAACCCCCTCCCCGCCCCCAACACACACACCAGGACTCCCTTCCTCCAGCCAAGCCCAAGTGCTGGTGTTGCCTTTCCTTGGGCGGCCCCTTTGGGGATCACTCTCCCCTCCCCTCCCCTCTCCCTGCAGCCTGGCATGGCAGATCCTTGCGGCTGGGAGCTGGAGGACCGCACTGTCCCCAGCTGCGGGTGGGCTCCCCTTTCTTACCAGAGCGGTAGTAGTGGTGAGGTGAGCGGGAGAAGGTGGGGGACATGCCCTGCCGGCTGTAGGTGGGCGAGTCGATGTACCCGGGGCTGGAGGCCCGCCTCTGTCGGAGACTCAGGTTCTCGTAGATGTCCTGGGGGAGGAGACATGGCTGAGCCACAACCCTGCGGTGGCCGCTGAGGTGGGCACGTGGGAGTAATCAGGGGTGCTGGGGCCCATCCTGGGGCTGCCGGGAGCTCAGAGCACCTTCCCCTGGATGGCTGTAGAGATTTTTCTCCTCTGCACCCCTTGCTTCAGGCTCAGCTCCTCAAAACCCGAGCATCAAAGAGACACAGGGGGTGGGGGTGGGGGGCTGCCTGGTGAGAATGGGGCCACTGGGGTCTCCCCAGCCATTTTTTCCCTGTGTGCCATCACCGAGTCCTTGCTCCAGCCCCCTCTGCCCTGATGGGGGGAGCACCTTGGCAAGGCCCCGAAGGGGGGGGGGACCCAGGGGGGAGCTTGGGAAGAGATGCAAAGGGCTCCAGACACGTCATGATTACCTGGGAGTAGGGAGATAAGGTTCCCAGCGACTTAGAGGCACAGGGTGTGAAGGGCAGCCACGGAAGGAGCAGCAGAAGAGAAAGGAGAGGAAGACAGAGAGCGTTACAGGGTCCGGCAGAGAGAGAGAGAGCCACCAGGCAGGCACCCCCACAGACAACAGGCTCCAGAGAGCTTGGGGGGAAAGTTGGGGCTTCTTCTCCAAGGAGGAAGGAACTCCAGGCCGGGAGGGGAAGGGTTCCACACTCCCAGGCGGCTCCATCCCAAGCTGCCTCCAGGCCCTCCATGGCTCACTGTGGTGGACAGTGCCCAGGGCAGGGCTGGAGTCAAGCCTGGACGGGGTGGGGTCAGAAACGGCACCTCTGAAGAGGACAACACCCCCTGTCTCCAGCTCACTGGGTCGGGTGGGAGGCTTGCCCAGTTCCTATGGCTGTCTGAATTTCCAAGACAGGTCAGACAGGGCTTTGTGTGAGATCTCTCACTGTTTCATTGTGGACTGCTACTTCCCCTGCTCCAGGTCAGAGGCGAGAACCCAGGCTCTTTTCTTTTTTTCCTTTTTTTCTTTTTGGGTCACACCTGGCAATGCACAGGGGTTACTCCTGGTTCTGCACTCAGGAATTACTCCTGGCGGTGCTCAGGGGACTATATGGGATGCTGGGAATCAAATCCAGGTTGGCCGTGTGCAAGGCAAACAATGCCCTAATTGCTATGCTATTGCTCCAGCCCCAAACCCGAACTCTTAAGCACAGCAGAACCCAGTTCCTTTAGAGAAACAGGAATGCAGGCAGGTTACAGACACAGACACTGTCAGCTAAGGCTCCCTGAGGGTCTGCATGGCCTAAGGGCCATGGCCCCTGCCCCTCTAAAAGTGAACCTGCTTCATCAGCCCCATTGTGGCCTCAGAGCTCTGAACAGGGGGCGCAGGGTAGGTGGGGCAGGCAGAGATGCTCATCAGCTTCGAGGGACCTTGCGGTTGGGGCTGGGTTTGCAGACACTGCAGTGGGGGCGCCACAGCTCCTCACAGGACAGCACCCCCAGACTTTCAGAAGCTTTAAGTTGCTAGGTTCCCTGGGAGCGGTAAAGCCCCGTCCTGCCTACAGGGGGCGCTGCTCTCTAGCGCCAGAGGGTGCAGTCACCGAACTCCAGTTTTAAAGAGACCCAGATGTTGGGGTGAAATCCGTCCTTCTAAAACGCTGACTCTCCACTCCGGCCTGGAACGGTCTGGGGGGCCTCCCGTGTGGATGAGGGGACTGGGTACCCGCCAAGAGGGCGAGCCGCGGTACCTCTCCATAGCCACACCGCTCCAACATCTCGTCAGACGTGTATCTGGAATGAGGTTCGTAGGAAATGAGGTCGGGACGTTGAACCTCGTAGATGGACTTGACCTTGGGGAGGGCTGCCAGGTCTTTGTAATTAAGGATCTCGTTATCCACCTTGGCCTGGGGGAAGAGGGGAGCGGAAGGAGAGAAGTGGAAAGGTAAGAGGGACAGGAGAGAGGAAACAGGAGGCTCAGAAAAGCAGGTGTCCAGATTCCAGCGTCGGGACTCCTGGGCCAGGAGGGTGGACAGGGCGAGTGGGCAGCTGGACCCCCGCAAGGCTGTGCGGAGGCCCTGTGTCCTGCAGGGTCCAAATGTCAGGAGGCGCCTGTGAGGTATATGGGTCAGTTTTATTCCAGACCGGGAAACTGAGGTGCAGAATTCTACAACCCACATGGCATAGCCGGAAGGTTTGAACCAGGCCTGAGCTTCAGCCTGAAGGGGGTCCATACAGCCAAAAGCCCCCTGCCCCCAACAGCTTCCTGGAGAGAATACAGACAGCAAAGAATAGCACTCCAGGACAGCCTGATTCTCACAGAGCCAGTGCTCGGTGTCATGGGCTTGGGCAGCAGGGCAGGACCGACTTCAGCTCTTAGGGAGCAGAGCTGAGACCCCGACACACATTTGTCTGTTACCTGAATGAGTAACTGTTATATCCAAGGGACCTCTAAACCCATCTAACTCTTGTCTTTTTTTTTTAAATTGATTTTTGGGCCATACCAAATGATGCTCAGGTGTTACTCCTGACTCAGCACTCAGGAATTACTCCTGGTGGTGCTCAGGGACCATATGGGATTCTGGGGATCGAACCCTGAGCCCTACCTGCTGTGCTCTTGCTCTTCACTTTTTTTTTTTAGACTTTTTGAGTCACATCCAGCAATGTTCAGGGGTTACTCTTGGCTCTGCACTCAGGAATTCCTCCTGGCAGTGCTCAGGGGACCAAATGGGATGCTCGGAATTGAACCCGGGTCGGTCGCGTGCAAGGTAAACGCCCTAACCGCTGTGCTGTCGCTTCAGCCCCTCTGTACTAACTCTTGCCCTTTCTGTTGACTGTCTCCGGCCTCTGAGTAGTTCAGCCATGCACACAAGGGCTACACCCTCCCTGGAAGTCTCAGGTAGTGAGAAAGCTCATCTTGACAGCTGCAAATCCTTTTCACTCATGCTTGCACACTCCTTCCTGCTGTCACCCTGATGCTGACGGCCGATCTAAACCCTCCCTGTTCTCAGGTTCTCTCTGTCCTGAGCCTCAGGGAAGCACAGAAAGAAGGTTCGTCACTCTGCTCCCTGAGTTCTGGTGGCTCCTGCTGGAGTCAGTCCCATCCCTGAGGTCTGTCCACAGGGATGCTTGTGCTTCAGGACAGTGGGTCCACTGTCTCCCTGACCCCTCAGGTCCCAGGGCTTGTCACAGAATATAGCAGAGGACATGCCCACACCCAGAATCACTTGGACGAACTCCTGCAGATCCCTTGGCTTCCTTAGTATGCCCCCTTTTCGGTTTCGGGCTATTTCTTGGTTCTGTGTTCTGGACTTGGTGATACTCAGGGAACTCTACATAGGGATCAAATGAAGGTCTCCTGAATGCAAAGTGTGCCCAGCGAGTTGTCCTGAGCCCAAATGATCTCTCTCTCTCTCTCTCAAATATTTTTGGATTACACTTAATGGTACTTGGGGACTACTCGCAGTTCTGTGCTTTGTGTCACTCCTGGCAATGCTGGGGCGGGGGGGGGGACTATGTGTTTCTGGGGATCAAACAAGGGTCAACTAACATGCAGGGCAAGTGCCTTAACCCCTGGAAAATCTTTAGCTACTAGGCTAATAGAGAAGAAAGGCTTTTCATTGGCTGCAGAGATACATACGCAGATGACTCGATTGGGTGACCCAATGCTGGATCCAGGAGGTGAGATGGAGGTTTCGGATGTCCGTCTATGCTGGGGGAGAAACAAAGAATGTGAGACTCACACACTGGAAGTGGTGGGGAGCGTGGGAAGCAGGGTGCTGGGGCTGGAGTGCCCGACTTTCCAGACATATTAGCAACAGGGTTCCAGCTCCTGGCAGGAGCGTCTTCCCTCTCTTTCATTCCTGCCTTTCTAATCCTTGCGTGAGCATGAAAGAAATCTGGACTCCTAGATGGGAAGCTGGAGCGACAGCACGGAGGATACGGCATTTGCCTTGTATGTGGCCGACCCGGGTTCGATTCCCAGCATCCCATATGATCCCTCAAGCACCGCCAGGAGTAATTTCTGAGTGCATGAATCAGGAGTAACCCCTGTGCATTGCCGAGTGTGATCCAAAAAGAAAAAAAAGAAAAAAAAAGAATCTGGACTCCCAGAAAGAACTTCAGGCTATTACACATAACAGTTTTGTTTCTTACATATTTGTAATTAGGCCTTGCGATAATAAGTCACTCATATAACTCTCCATGCTGGATTATTTCAGTCAATAATGTGTCTATTTATTTCTTTGGCAGGTGGGTGTTGGCACACCCAGCTGTGCTCAGGGCTTACCCCTGGCTCTGTTCTCAGGGATCACTTCTAGAGAGGGTGGGGTATCATATGGGGTACTGGGTATCAAACCCAGGTCGGCTATGTGCAAGACAAGCTTCCTACCTGCTGCACTGGTGCTCCAGCCCAGTGTGTCTATTTTCAATGAGTAAAATTCGTAAATGACTAGAATTCAAAATGAGCAAAGTTGACTTTCTCCTGGGTCATCTGTATATGTAAATATATATATATATATATATATATATATATATATATATAAGCACGAAGGGTGGTTAAACTGCACACAATTGTGCAATCCACTGATTCTTTATGGTGTTTCCACTGTGAGTTGACATTAGTCTAAGTGATAAACAAAACACTTCCTTCTCTGAACAGAGCCGTGACATCGTCATCTCCTGTGTGGAACAACACTGCAAATCTCCTAGACACACAGTGTCTAGGAGAGCAGCAGCTTGTGGTTAAAGCGGAAATAGTGGGAATCAAGGGCTACAAGAATGGTAGGCTTCTAGGCATCTTCAGGTTCAGGTCTGTCAAACTAAGGGACTAGTTACAAGGACTGCTAACTTCCCTTCCAGATCTCCTGCCCCTTACTTACAGAGTACTTATTGCAACTGCGGAGATGCATTAATTTTCTTTTTGGGTCATGCCCAGTGATGCACAGGGGTTACTCCTGACTCTGTCAGGAATTACTCCTGGCAGTGCTCAGGGGACCATATGGGATGCTGGGAATCAAACCCAGGCTGGCCATGTGCAAGGCAAAAACCCTACCAGCTATGCTATTCCTCCAGCCACCGGAGATGCATTTTCTTGACAGGGCATGTGAACTAATGGGGGCTTTGGGGAGAGGAATTTAGGTCATACATTAGATGATGTGAGAGTAAATGGAAAATTCTGTACCAATGCTTTTTGGGGTAGGTCAAGGAAGAAGTCTTAAATTTCAACATTTCAACAAACTTCTTGACACTGGCTAGTATCTCTCTTTGTTTTTTAAGCAAAGGGTGCAGGCAACCTGATCTAGCTAGTCCCTTAGATTTGTTCTTATGAATTATTTCAATTTCACTGAACATATTTATCCTTCTCTTATAGCAAACAATGTTGAGTTTCTTCCGCTTGGTGGTATCAAATTTTATTTAAAAATATACTTAGTGAAGTTTAAAACAGAGAGCTTATTTAAAGGAAAATATTAACTATATAAAGACACAGGGGGCACAGAGATATAATAAAAAGCATCAGCATTATAGGAGAACAGATATCTCTGACAAATATCGCCAAAGATGAGAAAGGTGAGGAAAAAGGACAATCGGTTTCTCCTAATATCTTAAGAGGGAGAGACCTTGGAAGAGACAGGGAGAAAAACTCACCGTTCCAAAAAAAAAAATGCATTAATAGACAAACTCCTTCACAGAACATATGTTATATTCACCAATAAGTGAACACCTTCACAAAACCTTTGGTGGATTTAAGGGCAAAGAGGTGGTTTAACTGGTTAGAGGATACACACACACACACACACACACACACACACACACACACACACACATTTTTAGGAGACACTCTGGAAATTCTTAGGACTATAAGAGAGTTCTAAGGGTCTGTGGCAGCACGTTGGATGGTCCCCACCATATAAACTACCCCCTGCCCACCCCACCACAGAATAGGAATCCCAGTTCTGGCCCCTCCCGGAGTCCTTAAATCAGGAATCCAGGTTCCCAGGATGTCCTGGTCTGTGGCCCAGAGGGATGATGCCCTCGCTGTCCCAGTATGGATGAGACACTAGTGCCTGCTTGGCTCCATGACTATGGATGGCTGCCATCTTCTCAGGTCCTCAGATTTTTTTCATGAGCAAAGCAAATATGAGATTCCTGGCCCTCTCTGCCTCAGAGCATTAAAGAAATCAAACCAGAGGGTCGCTGTGAAGACAATGTGCAAATTGTGGATGGCTGTGGCAATACCATCGCAATTGATAACGAAGGCTGACGAAAGGCAGGCCTTAGCAGATGTCCATTTGGGTTGAACTTGTCTGAGGGGATCATTACCTGCCCCAGAAACACTTAATAATCATGTCAGCTGACCAGTAGCCCAGGTGTTCTCACACCCAACATCTCAACCCCTCAAAAGCCCTGAGGAAAGCGGAACCATTAAGGAAAGTCAAGGACCCAGGAACACATTTGGTCAACTAAAAGCACATTGCCCCCAGTCTGCGGCCCAAACTAGCTGGTCAAGTATTACCACCAGTTTGCTTACCTTTAACTTCTTCTCCGCCCGAGCTGCCTGTTTGCAGATGGGGTGCCAAACCTCAGAACCTAAGGAGTCAGAGAAACCAAGGAAGTGAAGACTTTGTAAAGAAATGACAAAGTGAAGGCTCAGAGTCCAGTCAGCCATCAGAGTCTCTCCTCCTTGGAAGCTTATCCGCCCTTCCTGGCCCCAGTGTGCTACACAGCAGCCGAGAGGCTTTGTGGCTTCCCACTCTCTGCTCCACCACAGGCTCACCTGTCCACGGGCTCAGTCACGCACAGATTCTTCGCTGCCTGCTCCCCCCCGACCCTTCATCCAGGCCCAGTCCTCACATGGCTGCTTCTTGCAAGTGTTCTTACCTGCCAGCTGAGTGTGGCTGCTCTCTGCTCTGGGATTCATAATTTTTTTTTTTATCTCTTCCAACACATAGAACCTTAAATGACTGTAGCTTGCGGATTTCTCACCCCAACCAAATCAAGAGCCTCTCTGGGCTGGGGCCGACCTGTCTTCACGGCTGAGTCTCCCACAGCACCCAGTATGGACCTGGCTGTCAGCGGAGGCTTCATGTAAGTTTGTGGTATGACTAGTTGAGGGGATGATGTACAGTGAGTGACACAGAGCAGGTGGCCAATAAGTATTTGTTGAATGAATGAATGAATGAATGGCAGAGGGGGGTGAAATACAGGGATAGACTGTGGTGACCTCCAGCCTTCTTTTCTCTTCAAAGGCTTATGCAGGCTACCAGAGATTTAAATGGAGGAGGTGTTGCGGTATATATTCTGCTTGAGGGCACTGTCTTAACCTGCTAAGTCCCAGGCAGCTCCAGACTCTTTAAATATAGCACAGTGAGAATGCCCACATGTTCTTGGTTGGGTGGGGTGGGGGGGTCCAGTTGGTTGCTCCTACATCCCAGAGACCAATTTGGAAAGGCATGAGCAACAGGTGGCTGGTCACGTTTTGAGAAGCAGCCCCAAATATCACGCACCCTCCCCCAGAGAAGAGACAGGTGTTCTGGATTAGAAGGAAAAATAGGAACATATTATCCCCGTGGTGCCATTCCGCTCATACCCGGGCCTAGAGGGAAAGCAGCCAGCAAACGGCGAGATTCCTGAGCACCCAGATGGCATTTGTTTGTCGAAATTTGTTTTTAGGATCAGCTTTGTGTTATGATTTATTGCCTGGGACCCCTGGGACTGGAGTACTAAGTGGTGTGTGTGTGTGTGTGTGTGTGTGTGTGTGCGCGCGCACGTGTATGAATGCATGTGTATGCACATTCATGTGTGTGTGTGTGTGTGTGTGTGTGCGCGCGCACACGTGTATGAATGCATGTGTATGCACATTCGTGTGTGTGTGTGTGTGTGTGTGTGTGTGTGTGTGTAAGGTTGAATAATTTAGGGGAGAATCCGGGGGAAGAGAGCTTTCTAGTAAGGAGCCTTGGGTTCTTGTCTTCCCCGAGCAGACCATTCTAGTTTCTAGCTAGTTTCTAGTTTCTTCCTCTACATAATGGGGAGAGGACGCACAAAATCTGGCTTATGCATAAGCATCTCTAAATTGCTAAGTCTAGGGAGAGTTTTGTCATTTGTGGGATGACAAATGACATCCTTGGCTCTTGCCTGCATGCATCCTAGGGTTGCTAATGATTCGGAGTTTTCCTCCTTCTGAGGAGAGTGCCGTGGCTCTCAGAGTCCAGCAGAGGGACTCAGGGGCTGCGTGCCAGGCAGCAGTGCAGGGTGTGTCCACCCCACGCGGGCAGCTCCTGCGGCTGGGAGTGTGGGGGCATTTCTGCATCCTGAGAGCTGCTGAATCTAATCATCGTTCAGCGTTGCTTACTGCTGTGGCTCTGGCAGGAAGCACACGTCACAGGACACTGTGGGATGGCATGAGGTGGACAAATGTGTAAGAAAGACAGGAGATTAAGTGTCAGAGGCTTTGTTAAAGTATAGGGGCTAGGAGAAGTTCTCAGGGAGGGGGAAATAAGGTGGTCAGATGTGATGGTCTCTGTCACTGCCACCTCTGTCCTGAGTGGCAGCTCTTGGTATGCAGGAAAGCAGGTTTATAGAGGAGGGAGGGGAGAGAGAGAGAGAGAGAGAGAGAGAGAGAGAGAGAGAGAGAGAGAGAGAGAGAGAGAGAGAGAGAGAGAGAGAGAGATACAGAGACAGACACACACAGAGAGAGAGACTGTGTAAACATGCACAAACATATATATGAGTGTATGTTACAAGACAAGGGAGGGCAAGAGATCATAAGGAGAAAAAAATAGAAAAGAATTAAACAGGGCCAGAGAGATCCAGTAGGTAAAGCTCTGGCCCTGCACATTGCTGATTCGGGTTCAATCTCCAGCACCATATATGGCCCCTGGGACCCAGTCAGGGGAGATCCCTGAGCACTGCTGGATGTGGCCACCAAACAGAACAAAGCAAATGAATGAAACAGAAACTTGAGTGGCTCTATATCCTGTGAATTAAAGGGGGAGGGAGGGACTAGGCATGTGTCCCTGGGCTCCACCCCTGGCACAGTCACCTCAAATAAGAAGGAAGCAGTTGGTAGGTAGTTAGCAATAAGCAGAGTTAAATAAAGGTGAATAAGGGGAATGTGTTCACAGAGACGCCATGCAGTTAAGAGATGGACGAGCTTATGCATGAGTCACATTGAAAATACCCAGGGTGAAGAATGAGGCTCTTCCTTTCCACGGATGTTCTCCCAAGGGTCCAAAATAGTATACTCAGCTGGTAACTAATGAGGAATTAATGACAAGCTGGGTTTCACCTTTAAATTTGGGGGTACCTCCCATGTTCAAGGGCCTTGGGACCTTTTCCAGAAACACTTGCCAGCTTGACTGGACAGTTCAATGCTTAGGCCCAGCCAATGAGGGCCCATTAATGTCACCCTCATGGTGCTCAAAGGCCTTCAAGGTTACACTCAGCAATTCTTCAGGAGTTATGGAGTGCAGGAATTGAACTCAACAGCCAACTCCTTGGTATATACCTTTGAAATGGAAAAATATATACAGGTGAAGTACACCCAGAAAATGATGGTACCCATTATGGAGAGAGGACCCCTAAATTAAGCCATAATGGAGCATCTTCACTATGGAGAAGAGAAAACTTAACAGAAAGATAAACATAGTGTTGAATACTTGAATATCTCTCTGTGGAAAGGGGGATGAAGTAGAACAAAGGCTAAGGGCAAAATTCTAAGGAGGGGAAAATGGAGCACTGAGGCTTGAATGGTTCATTCTGAGAGTGAGTCTCCTGTCCCTGGAAGAATGTCAGTTCATCCTGGGTGGACAAGGCTCAGTTTGGCAGATGCATCCTATGGCAATAATCCTTATAGACCTGACCAACCCTTAGAAACTCTGTTTATCCTGACAGACTCTTCTGCAAAGGAAAGCGTTTGCTCCCTTCCACACAGGGACCCCACCTGTCCTCTGTGTGGGGATACATGCAAGAGGCGATGGTGCAGAATTGCCACGAATACTTTGAGTGAACTAATAAACAGAAGAAACCTGGGTGCTTCCTCTGGCAGGGCCAAGATGCCCTGGGGCAGCCTATCCCACTTGTTTGTAATTAATTAGATGCTTGGAAAACACACCTCCAATTCAGGGGTGGCTCAGTGAGCAAGGGACACTGGAGGGAGAGAGTTTCCACTGATTTTGCAGGGATAGGAACCTGTATGACATGATATGGAAGAGGTGCATCCTAAAGCAAAGAAAAAATAAAACAAAACTGTCTTGAATCATGCTAAAAGGGGAAACTATTACTCAGTTCCAGAGTACCTCTGACCAAAAATAATCCATGAAGAAATTGTTCAGAAGACATTAAATATTATTTTTCAGGTGCCCTTCGTTGGGAATGTAGTAAAACATTTGTTCATCTTATTTTGATTGACTGCATGTTGTTGTCAAAGGACAATATAGGAATCGGGATGATTTTTATTTAAGAAAAAAATGGAAATAAGAAGTTTGCTATTTTATTTAAGTTACCTTGAATTCTCTAACGAGATGAACTGGAGAGATCTGAACAAGAAGCATAATCTGGACCCAGATTTCACAGCTGCAATTCTAGAGTGAGTGTCTCAGTGTATCTACTAAACTGGACTCTACAGTGTCACTGAGCACTAGTGGTTTAGAAGCATGACACATGCAAGATTCTGGGGCCCCTGCATATTCTTAAGTCATCTTCTTGGCAGTGAGCCTGAGGACCTTTGACCTTAACCAGACCCAACCACTTCTGACTGTTCCCCAGAGACTCACAAGGTGAACACCAGTTCACCGTCCAAACTGGAGACTTGAAATGTCAGGGGATAATGAGAACAATTTTACAAGACTGAGTTCTTTAAGATCTTGCACAATCTCAGCATACTTTGATTGCTAGGCTTCAGGTTCCCCAAGTCATACTCTTCTTCTCCAAGATGATCACCCCCAATTTCAGGTTATACAGTCACGCGTTCCTACAGGATGATGGGAATGCAGGGTGAGTTATTTCTGTATCAGCTGAGTCAGAGATAAAGCTGGAAGTCTCACATCATCTCTTAGTGGGCTGCAAAGTATCCTTTCAACCCTTAATTGCATCACATTCTGTCTTCCTTTTGAACTGCTTACAGCACACCCCACACTGTACCATTTGGGGAACCCACCCAGGTCTTCAATGTTCCCTGTGATTCAATATGCCAACACCCTTTAAAAATCATTATTTCAATGACTGCATTCATGGAGATCTCAGGGACCTGGTGCAAAAGCAATAGACCCCCAGAGTCTTTAACAGAGTGAGAAACAAACAGCTCAGTGATGGGCCAGGTCCATCTGAAGGTTGCATTTGATCAGTATAGGTTTTCAAAGCATCTTTGAATCCGAATGTATTTTTGTTCTGTAGGTGGTCTGTGATCTCCATGCTATCCTGCTATATGCCTTTGGGACTTTCCTCTCATTTAAGCAAGCCGTTGGGCGTGCGTGTACACACACACACACACACACACAAACACACAAACACAAACATACACTCTCCCCTTCCTAGAAGGGTCAGGCTTTCACTTCCAGGTAGAAATTGCTCTTTTAAAATTCCTGTTCAGG